GCCTCAGCCTCCCAGAATCCTGGGATTACAGGTGTCCAGGACTGTGCCTGCTCCATTTCTCCCAATTTTTTAGCTTTCCTTTTCACTCTGTTACTTTCTTTGCTGTACAGAGCATTTAAGTTTGATGTCATCTCATGTGGTTATTTTTGGGTTTGTTGCTTACATTTTTTTTCAAGACCAATATCATGAAACTTTTTCCTTATGTTTTTTCCTAGACGATTTTATTTGTTTGTTTGTTTTTTTGAGATAGGGTAGTCCAGGCTGGTCTCAAACTCGAGCTGATCGTCCTGCCTCTGTCTCTTGAGCTGGGATTACAGGGGTGTGCCCTCATGCCCAGCCTTGCTAATAAAATCCTTTGGGGTTTTTTCCCATAATTTTATTGATAAACAAATAGCAATGAGACAGTTTCAAATCAAATTGGTAGGACAGTTTCAATAATAATAATATCCTTTGATGCACAGTCATTTTTTAGCGTTGGTGGAGTCCAGTGTATCTAGTTTTTCTTTTGTTTCCAATACTTATGGTAGTACTTCTATCTATCTGATCTTCTCAAACCCCCACATGCCCCTTAGAGGATTCTCACAGGCCCCAAGGCTTTTTTTTTTTTTTTAAATAACTGGGAGGATTTGCAAATGTGTAGGGATGTTAGCTGAAGCATCTCCAGCAGTGTCTCTCACAGTGCACATCCCGAGGGCCTTTTGCCAGGGGTGGGATAAATCCCAGTAAGGTCACGTGACTTTTTCACAAAGGGAAAAGGAAGAACTACCACGTTGGAGTGGGAGGCAGCCTCCTTATGATGCCCCAGCCAGCAGGACTGATAAAGTGCCCTCTTTCCTGTTGGTCCCAAGGCCACTCTTCCTTTTCTTTTCCAGCCTCCGGAGTCCACATCCAGAGGGCTCTTTCTGAAACAGAGAGCCGTCCACAGTGCCCCTTGCTTAAATCCTGTGTGTGCACCTACACACACATGCACATGCATACTCTCAGATAAGGCTCATACTCTGGAACATTGATGCTCTAGTCTCCAACCCTTCCACAGTGCTCTCCTCCCAGCCTCCTGAGCCCCACAGAATGCTCCACACCACCCACGCTCCCCCACAATGCCCGCTCTGCCCCTGCTGTGCTCTGACTGCAGTGTCCTCAGCCTCCTCCACTTAACAGGTTCTCCCATCAGAACCCAGCCTGGATGTCACCTCTCTTGGGACGCCCTCAGGGCAGCTCCGGTCTGGGTGATGTAGCATCCCCAGGCTCCTGGTACCGTGACCCCTGTAGGCTGCACCACTCACCTCTGCATCTTCCTCAGCCGCTAGTCCTGGGCAAGAACCTGCTGGACTTGTGCTGGGTTCTCAGTCCTCAGGCTTGACACAAACTAAGAGCACAGACAGTGTTTGTTGATGGAGTGCGACTGTGATGGACTGCCCTGTTATGTGCTAGTAATGTGGGCATTTGGTGGAGACTGAGTGGCTCTTTGCTAAGACATTAAACTGACCCCAAGTTTTGGGTCCCTAGGTCTGGAGAAAACCCTGAGCCACTCGGAAGTTAGGATGCTTGGTGCCTGCAGGCTCAAGAGCTAGACCTTGGTGCTGGGAGCTTGGTGCCAGCTGCACTTCCGCTGGTCCTCAGGGGCCCATACATCCAAAAGCCTGCCGGATGCCTTGTCCTCTTCATGGGGGCTCGTGTAGCTGTAGCTTTACATTATTTCTGGCTCATCCTTTCTTTTTTCTTTTGGTACCAGAAATCAAACTCGGGACCTTGCGTTTGCCAGGCAGGCGCTGTGCCACTTAGCTGTATCCCCAGCCCTGTTTTTAAACGTTGACATAGGATCTTGCTAAGTTGCCCAGGCTGGGCTAGAACTTTTGATCCTCCTGCCTCAGTCTCCCAAAGTGCTTGGATTATGGCTGTTCCACCTTGTCCAGCAGGATAGTCCTTTCCATTAAAAAAAAAAAAAAAGTTTATTCCTAATAAAAGTTTTATGACACATTTTGTTTGGATAAAGTGTGTCAGATATAGTGCTCCTTTAAATGTAAAGGCTCCCATTCTCTCTTCTTGTGTATATTTAATAGCTTCCTAAGGCGTCGAGGTGACTATTCTGTTTTCATTTATTATCATCGTTACAGTCACCTCTTCTGGCATGTGGATACCAAAGTCTGCAGGTGTTGGCTGGGCAGCGCAGAGCCCTCCTGCCCTGACACTAAAACAATGTGCATACTGTGTCAGTGGTTGTTACATTGTGTCACTTAGGGAACAGTGACAAGAAAAAGTAACTTTGTCTGGTTAGTACCGGTGCACTTTATCGGGAATATTGGCTCTGAAGTTGATTGGCTCGATGGCCGCAAAGCACAGGGATACAGAGGGCTGACTGTCTTTCTGTTTGCTATGGTGATTAGTGCTTTATTCACTAAACTCTGTGCATTTCTGTGCAAGCTGTCAGATTTATTTATTTACTTTGTTCTTATTTATTTCATGTTTTTGACAGTCTCACAACATGGTTCAGGCTGGTCTTGAACTCATGGCAGTCCTCCTGCCTCCACCTCCTGAGTTCTAGATTATAGGTGTGTGGCACCACGCCCAGCCTGGACTGATTTATAATACAAGCCCCCCGCAGCCCGATGCCACTGACCAGCTAAAGACTAAATTCCCCAGGCCCGTGTACTGAAAAGCAGTGAGTAGGTTGGAAGAATCCAGCCAACGCTGAGGAAGCTTACTTCACTCGGAGCTTCCTAGCAGCCATGGCAAAAGTAAAAATAAGAGGGTTTGTGGAGCTCTTGAACTTCAGCAGAGGAAATGAGCCAGATTCTCAATGCAGGAGCTTTCCTGGTTCTGACCCGGGAGAGGCTGAGTCGTGGGAACTCGGGTAAGGGACAGTATTGCACAAGGGGCGGTTTCACTGCAAGGTGCAGGACCTGCTGGGTTTGGCCACCTCTCACCTTGGCTCTTCATAGCCGCTGAGGGTGTGTTGATAAACTGTCCTTCTGGGAAAGCGTGTTTTTGTGGCGGCCTTAGCAACACGTCTAAGTCTGACCTTTCTCTGCTGAAATGTGTCCCATTTGCCAGAGAATTAATAAATATGTATTAATAGTGTGGCCTCCATGCTGTGCTTTTATGCCAAGAATCTCATTTAAGATGGAGGCAGAGTTTGTTAGTGCCACTTTGGACCAGGCATGGTGGCGCACGCCTGTCATGCCAGCACTTGGGAGACTGAGGCAGGAAGAGTGTCCGGAGATGAGGCCTAAGTCTACTGCCACTTCTTCTGGGTGGCGCTCTATTAGAGAAGCGGGCAGTCTGGCCTGTTACGAGCCCAGCATGCATCACAGCTGGCTCCCTTATGTCACAGGCTGCACCCGTCCAGCTGTCTAGTCTTGGCAGTGATCCTCCAGGTCCATGGTGGGAGCCCGCATGACAGAGCGGGGTTCTGAGGGTAGACGGGGAGGAGGAGGACGTAGTTGGCCAAGCAGCTCCTGCAGTGGCTCCCCGACAGTGGCACTGCAGGGTGCCCAAGGACTTGTAGCATCACATACACACATTTGTATTGATTTGTGTTTTTCTGTGTAAGGAGAGAAGGGATGGCTTTCATGCAGTCTTAAAAAAATCAGACCAAAACCAAAAAAATACAAACCCCGGGAGCTCAGGACAGACCCATAATAGCAGTTCATGCTGACTGGGGCACAGCAAGGGGCCAGGCACCCCACGGGCCTTTAGGCACTTGTTATTCCTGGGAAGGTCATGGTGTATCACCTGCACCTTACTCAGCTAGTTAGTGTCCCTGGGTGGTGACAGGTTTGTTTCTTTTCTACCATGGCTTCATAGATGATTTTCCCCAGCAGTTAGTAGAGTGTTTTTGGTTTTAAGCAGGGTCTTGCTATGTAGTTCAGGCTGGTCTTGAACTCACTATGCAGCCCAGGCTGGCCTCAAACCAGCCGTGATCTGCCTGCCTCAGCCTCCAGAGTGCTGGGGTTACAGGCATGTGCCAACACACAGACAGCAATTAAGAGTTCTTGCTTCTTTTCGTGGATGTGCGAATTATTGAACAAGAATGAGATGCTGTACTTCAATAGGCTCAGCGCTGAGTCGCTTCTGTTTCTGAGCCCCCAGGAGCAAGAACGGTTCATTGAGAGTGAATGAATGAGGGATAGAAGGATGAGGCCTAAAAAGGCACTCTTTCCACATGTTGTGGGTCACTGGGGGAGGGATACTCAGATGGCTCTTTTTTGAGGGTGACAATTCACTGCCATGTTAGAAGTCTTGGGGAAGCTGAAACCGGCCCTGATGTTGAGAGCCAGGCAGGACCTGTGTGGCCAAAGGAGCCTCAGGAGGCCACGTCCTGCCTTTGTGGTAAGCAGCAGAGTGTGAGTGGCAGGTGCCCCTTCTGCTCTCCACCCTGGTGTGTGACATTCCACTGTACGTCGCAGGGCTGACAGGGCCAGGAGTGTCTTGCTCCTCCTAAAGCCTTTCACCTGTCACCTCCCTGGCCCAACTCAAAGCTCCCTCTTGACCTTTGGTTTCTTGTACCCTGACATGGCTTGTCCCCTACAGTATAGCCCATTGGTGGGGCCACAGTTAGGATCATAAGCAGCTCTATTTTATGGGCAGAGAGGGCTCGGGTTCCAGAGAGGTGGAGGGTGGAGAAGAGAGAGGGGTTCGGGGTTCTGTGAGTTGTGGTGGCCTTGGGCATGGACAGGAAAAGCAGCCTCCAGAGCCATGGCCATGGAGGGTGGGATGCAGGGTGGCCAGTGGGTGGCAGGATGGCAGGAAATGAGGCAGAGGCCTGGGAGGAAGGTGTTCGCTGAAGCTTGGGTCTCTGTGGCAGTTTGGTTTTTCTTTTTCAGAAACATGAAGCACCCAAGCAACTGCCTTGGTGTCAGAGCCACCTGTGAGGCTAGGGACAGGTTGGGAGTGGCGGAGGGGACAGGCTGGGCACTGGGGCACTGAGATGCTGGCCTGCGGGGTCTCTCACTCTAGGGCAGGGTGTCCCTGCTCATCTCCTCCACCTTGTGTTTCTACAGATCATGATCGAGTTCTGTCCTGGGGGAGCCGTGGACGCCATCATGCTGGGTGAGTTTTCCTCGGCCAGAGCACCGCTGGGAGCAGAAGGCCTTGCCCAGAGTCCTAAAACAGACTCTCCCCAGCCGGAGGGAGTGTGGCCTCCGAGCACCTTTCCGCTTTGTCCCCTCTTGGAGAGATTGCTGGGCAGTCATCGAGGACCAGCCCTTGCCACTCGAAGGCCCCGGTCCTTCCCTGACCACTCACCCTCTCAAGCCTTCTTGGCTGTAGGATGGGTGTGGCTCCTCATTCACCTGACCACACAGCACACTTAGGAGTGAGAACAAGACACTTAAGAGGTCCTTCTCTGTGTGTGCAGTAGTGGAGAGCAGTCGCAGGGGTGCTGTGCTGCCGAGCTACAACCCAGCTCCTTCTATTTTGTAAGACAGGGCTAAGTTGTCTAGGCCAGCCTTGACTCAAGATCCTCCTGCCTCAGCCGTCTGAGCAGCTGGGATTACAGGAGTGTGCTACCATACCAGGCAGGGATGACAAGTGAGACGCATGCTGTCTTCGTCCTTTTCTGCTGCTAGACAGAACACCTGAGCCTGGACAGAACTCATAAAGACCAGAGATCAGTGTGCTCATGGAGGTGGGAAAGACCCAAGGACAGGTGCCAGTGTTGGGTGGTGCCTGGCAGATGGCAGGAGAGCACATGCAAGAGAGAAGGGACGCTGCAGCCGTCCCCTCACTGAGAACCAACCCACCCCCCACAGGCCCGGCCTGAGCCATTCACCTCCCAGAGGCCTACCTGCCCACACAGGTGCATTGGGATCAAGTTTCCAACACAGGTCTTTCGGGGACGCCTCTGACCTGTAGCACACACCCATTTTGGAGATACTCAGTAGTGATGTTATCACGCCGTGGTGTCCAGGCAAGCCCGCACAGTGCCACTGCCAGCAGTGACAGTATTAGTAGGAACCATCAATTCATGTTTTAGTCCATTTCCTATTGCAAAAATAAAGCATGCAAGGTGGGTGCTTTATAAAGGGGAGAGTCATAGGTGACTCACAGGTCTGGGGGCAGAAAGCCCGAGGTCATTGTCCCCATCTTTTTGGTGTCTGGTGGGGGCCACCTGAAGGGTGGCATCACAACACAGGGAGCCTGGGCAGAAGAGGTCATGTGGTGAGACAGGGCGCCAGAGCATTTCAGGGGCAGCCTGGCTCTTTTTATAACTGGCTCCGCTGAGAACTGGCTCACTGTCTTCCGAGGGGTCATCCCTTCTGAAGGCGCTGCCCCCATTTCCTGACTACCTGTGCAAGACCCCGCCTCTCCGGGCTCTACTGCCCGAACACGGCCACAGGGAGAACCAAGCTTCCCAGCTCACGAGCTGCAAGTCATACCCAAGCCGCAGTTTTGTGAGCTGTTGCTGGATGCCAGACTGTATCAGTGTTTTCACATATTCTGTCCTTGTTTAACCTCAAGTATAAAATCAGAAAGAGCATCTTTCTGATTTTTTCTTTTTTCAAGTACTGAGGACTGAACACAGGGTCTTTGTACTGAGCTATCTCTGTAGGCCTTTCTTTAGTTTTTATTTTGAGACAGGGTCTCTCTGAGTCACTAAGTTTCCAGGCCGGCTGGAACTCTAGATCCCCCTGCCTCAGCCTTCCAGAGCACTGGTGTTACAGGCAGGTGGCACTGGCTGTTTTATTCTTTTTTTTTTTTTTTTTTTTACCGGGGATTGAACTCAGACCTTTGTGCTTTCCAGGAAAGTGCTTATTCCACTGAGCCATCTCCCTGGCCCTAGCCGTTTTATTCTTAATCAAATTGGCTAAGGAGGAGCTTGGCCTGTCACAGAGCAGAACTGAGATACAAACCTAGGTCTGGGTGACCCTCGCTCCTAAGCACTGCCCGCCCCGCATCACTGCCTGCGTGTGCCAGCCCTCGGGGCAGTGAGTGAGGAGCAGCCACTGGTCAGGTCCGTGGAAGGTGAATGGTAAGCCCAGGATTCTAAAATGGCTGAGAAAAAGGGACCCAGCATAACACTGCCCATCTGTCGTCCTCCCCCTTCATTTATCTCAGGGCCATTTTACGTTTATAGCAGAACATCCCCAGCAGGACCCGTAGCAAGGCTAGACCCACAGGCCTTCCTTGCAAAGCCCTCTGATAGTCAGTGTTCTGTTATTATAGCAAGTGCCTGAGGAAAATCAAAGAGGACAATTGTGAAAAGGAAAAGTTCATCTTGGCTCGCGGTTTTGGAAGTTTTACCTCATGGGCTGCTGGCCCTGATGTTTTGAGCCTGTGTCAGAGCAGCATAGCATGGTGGGATGGGGATTCTGTGGCAGAAGCAGCTGTGACCTCATGACTAGAAGAGAGAAATAGGAAGAGACCAGCACCCACGCTCCCTCTGAGGACATGCCCCAGTGACCTGCAGCCTCCCATGAGGCCCCGCCCTTAGAGGGGCCACCATTTCCCAACATACTAGGCTGAGGACCAATCCTTTCCCACAAGGACCCAAGGGACTGTCCCAGAGCCAACTGTGGAGACCCCTCCCAGAGCCCACAGGCAGGTAAATGGCAGTAGGAAAAAAGATACTGGCCATGTCAACAGACTCTGGCCTTAAGGATCAGTCCAGCAGATGAAAATGGTAGCTGTGTATGAGTTGAGGCTCACAGGATACTAAGGAGCCAAAATTTTCTTGTTGGTTTTTGGAGAAAACATTCTGGAAATTTAGGAGTGAGAAGGTGGGATGGAGTCACAGACAAGGAAGGAGCCATGTCCCCGTTACAGCTCTGAGCCTGCCTGGCCTCCCACTGTCCCTGCCCTGCCAGGGACTTTCTGTCCTTCCTCCACCTTGCTGTTGTCCAGGGCATTGGAGCAGTCAGCAGTCTAGGCAGGAGTCTGGAGACCTGGGGTCCGTTTCTGCTTGTCCAGCTGTAGGGCCCCAGCCCTTTTGTGAGATGGTCACCGTGTGGTGTGACACAGTGATGCCTGACACCTCATGCTGTTCAGATTGGGAAGGATGTGACTGGCCACATCTTGCCTGTGTGAAAACATTTGGGCTGTAAACCCTCTTCTAGTTCAGAGGTCAGGGCTGGGATTGGAGGTGGTGTCAGATGGGACCAGGACTCATCTGGGATGTTTTACTTCAGGTTTTTTTTTTTTTTTTTTTAAACACTGCTGAGGACTGAACTCAGCTTCACACATACCAGGCAAATACTGTACTGCTGGGTCACACCTCAACCCTTTCTTTAAAAGTCATAATTTATGTTAGAAGTGCTGGTCATTTATTTGCCATTCCAGTATTTATCTTATGTTTTACTCTTAGTACTTATTTGCTATCATGAAAACTTTTTCTTAGTTCAATTGTTTTGAAACATTTAATTTTCTGAATATTGCTTAATCTTAATTTTTGTTCTAAGATTTATACTGTATCTTTGACTTACAATTTATTTAAAAAGACATTGTATGATATCTTCTCCTAATATTAGAAACTTTAAAAAGTATATTTTCATTTTCTGTTGACTTAAAAAAGAAAAGAGGTTTGTACCTATGTTATTTGCTTATTATTTCTTTCTTTATTTGTGTGTGTGTGTGTGTGTGTGTGTGTGTGTGTGGCCAGCTCAGCCCACCAGGGGGCGGGCCTGGCTGGCATGTGGTGCTGGGGGATTGAACCGCGGTCCCTGTGCTTTGCTAAGGTTGTTCTAAGTAGGTGCTTTAGACCACTGAGCCATCTCCCCAACCCCTGTTTATTATTTCTTGCCTATATCTTGTAATATGAGAAACTACTTTGGCAGTAACAATACACAATGTACTAACCATTGTTACTCTTCTAAAATCTTGTTTTGAGATTTTGTACCACTGTTTTTATTTTTTTCTTTCTTTAAAATAAAAATAACTGATGTCAATAAAAATAAATAAATAAATAAATAAATGAGAGAGAAAAAAATAAATAAATAAAAGTCATAGTTTAAGATAGCCCTCTCCCAGTTACCCAGGCTAGCCTTACATTGTCTATCTTCCTGCCTCAGCCTCTGAGTAGCTAGACTTACAAACCGCTACACCTGGCTGGTGTAATGTTTAAAAAAATAGACAGCGTTCATGCAACGCTCTGTAAGTAAAATCTCTGCTTAAAAACGTTGGGGCTTCAGAGGCTTTGTACTGTATGAGTCCGGTTTGGTGGCGTTCTAGGAAAAGGCAAAACAATAGGGCCGGAACTGAAAAGAGTGATTTACTGAGGGGCTGGAGGTGGGGGCAAGTTCTGACTATGAAGGGTGTGGGAGAATTTAGGAAATGATGGGAGTATCCTGGAACCAGACTGTGACGGGGTTATGTGACTGGGAGTGTTAAAATTTATAGAACTATACATCCAAACAAAAGTGAATTTTACCATGTGAAAACTGTACTTTAGTAAAGCTGACTTTGAGGAATGGTGCCTACCGTAGTCGTGTGGTTATTAGTAGGTAGTTTAAATTTTGGGCTAAGTTCTTAGTCTAATGTCTAATAAAGGGCCCCAAATGGTAGTGATTACGTCATAAGTATGGTAGCGTATTATTACTTACAATGTTCATTCTTTAATTTGTCTCAGTAAATCAAGCATGAATATGTCACATTTTTAAACATGTTTTTAAAAAATTACTGCTGCTACTCCAACCCTGGACTCATTTCAGAAATGGTATAATAACCTTTTTTTGAGACAGGCTGACCTTGAATTCCTTATCTAGCCCATGCTGGCCTCAAATTTATGATCCTCCTGCCTCATGCTCCCAAGTGCTGGGATTACAGGCGTGCACCACTATATCTGACCTCAGTAATCACTTTTTATTGCCTATTTGACACCCTGAAAAAATGAACATGCTTTGCGCAGAGCCCGGCCTCCTAAATTGTCATCATCCCATTTTATAGACCAGGAAGTGAAGGCCCCGAGTGCTTAGCCACCTGTCAGGAAGCACATAGCTGCTGAGGGTGCGCCTTTGGCTGAGGACACAGAGGTTAAGGCTGAGGCCACCCGGAAGGGAGCAGCTCGTGGACCCCAGAGAGGGGTGCTGGTCCAGGAGCTGCTCGGGGCCCGGCTTCGCAGGCCAGTGTGCTTGGCACCTGTAGCCCTGGCCGGGTGTGTGTTCTGGCCCTTCCAAGGGATCTGGTGGAGCGTTGGACCTTGTAGATTCCTGGCCACTGCGAGAGGCAAGCACAGACGTTTCCTCAGCGCCAGCTCATGTCTGCCTCCAGCCTGTGCTTCTGTTGGTCTTGACTGGGGTGCCCTTGTCCCATCCATTCTTCCTCAAGGTGTAGCTCAAGTGCCTGAGCATCCAAGCACCAGGCACCGAGCCTGGCACCCAAAAAGTACTCACAGAGTGTTGTGAGTTTAACTGTGGCTCCCACAGTACGTGTGTATAAAGTTTAATTCACAGACTCATCTGTTAATGGCATTTGGAGGTGGCCCTGTGGGAGGTGATCAGGATTAGGTGAAGTCATGAGACTAGGGCTCCTATCATGGGGTCAGTGGTTTATAAGAAGAAGAAGAGAAAGACTGGGATGTAGCTCAGTGGTGCTGTTTGTCTAGCAATGTGCAGGACCCTGGGTTTGATCTGTAATAGCACACGCGCGCGCGCACACACACACACATACCCGTGTGCACATGTGCATGTGGCTGGCCCTGTGATGCCCTCCTTTATGCCATGATCAGTAAAAATGTCTTACCGCATGTCCACCGTGTCCTTGGACTTCCCAGCCCCTAGATCCCAGAACCCAGATTTCTATTCTTTATCAGTTACCTGGTGTCAGGTCTTTTGATGCAGCGGTGGAAAATGGAGTAAGACAGCGTACGTCTGCTGATGCAGTGGATCTCTGCTGTCACAGTTGATCAGCGTCACTGGCATTGTATTTATGAATCTAAACTCTGAAGCCAGACTTTCTGGCTTGAATTTCAGATCTGTGTCATCCCCACTTTGTGGCCTTGAGCAAGTGGCCTCCGTGAGCCTTGTTTTCCTCATCTGTGAAACGGGAATACTAACTTTGTCTGCTCCATAGAGTTGTTGGGGACGAGATGGGTCAATACCGTCGAATGCCTGCAATTCAGTTGCCCATGGTAAGTGTTTGCTGAACTCTTTCCAGAGCTGGACAGAGGCCTCACGGAGCCCCAGATTCAGGTTGTTTGCCGCCAGATGCTAGAAGCCCTCAACTTTCTGCACAGCAAGAAGATCATCCACCGAGACCTGAAGGCTGGCAATGTGCTGATGACGCTGGAGGGAGACATCAGGCTGGGTAAGAGTGGTGACCAGGTGACCAGCTGGGAGTACAGGGCCACACAGTGCCCGCCTGAGGGAGTTGGCTGGGAGGAGGGGTGGCCTGGCCCTTGCAGTGAGAAGACACTTGGGCTTGGTCCTGCTGGAGATGGACAGCCCTCCATGCTTTAGTACTGGACTGCGGGCTGATGCCATCCCCAGCTGCTGGCCCAGGGGTTCCCAACCTAGGTGACTTTGCTCCTTGGGGACATTTGTCATTGTCTGCAGGCAACTTGGGGTGGGGTGGGTAAAGGCCAGGGCGGTAGCTGAACACCCTGCAGGCACAGTGTAGCACCTGCAATGCAGAATGAGCCCACCCGGAGGCCACAAGGCTGCTCCTTTCCCCGCATACTCCTGATTCTCAGGTAGTCAGAAGCGCAAAGGAGGAAGCTGTGTGATACAGTCAGGGGCCAGTAGTCTGTCGCAGGGCTGTCTTCTTGATCCTCTCTCTGTGTGCTCTCAGTAAACTCTTGAGCCTAAGTAGCACAGATGTGCCCTTGGCTCCTGTCCACCCGAGACATGCACCTCGGACTCTCTTTATCTTCACTTCTGCATTGTAAACACGCCTGCATGGTGCCCTTAGAGCATCAGGATGTTTATCGCTTGGTGCGAACCCAGTGCTTATTATACAAAGCCCATGTAGTGCGTGAAACTTAAGAGGAGAGAGCTAGAAAGTGGCTGCTGTCTCATCTGGGACCTGGGAATATCTGCGGGGGGCCAGGCTGTCACCCTGATGCCTCTGCGTGGTAGAAGGATGTATGGAGGTACAGACTTGAAGAGAACGTCTGTCACAAGAGAAAGGTGCTCCTCCCTTTCTTGTGCTTTTGCCTGCGTTCACCTCCATTTTCTGTGTCTGATAGGTGAACAGTTCCTTCATCCATCCCTCCATGCTCTCAGTCCCATCCTTCCATGGAAGTGTCGTTGTTGATACTTTCTCTAATGACTACCATGATGTCTTTAAGGAACATTTTAATTATGTCCACAAAGAGCCATACCAGCATTGGGCTCTGTGACTGCAAACTGCAGGGGCAGTAATGTGAGTGGTGACAGAGATGTGCGTCATCAACGAAACTGTCCTGTGTGGTGGGAGGGCAGCCTTCAGCATCTCCGCTGTGAGGGCCCAGGGAGGTGGGCACTTGCTCCAGGTCACAGAGCTAGCAAGGACAGAGCCAGGGCCAACCCATAGGGTTGCTGACCAAGGAGCTGGTCTGGTCCAGGGGGTGTTAGAGGCAGGCGTTCTATTCCCCGGTGGGGGCCTGGGAGTTGAGAACATAAAAGAAACTGCGCATGAAGGCAAGTTGACTGTGTAGTAAAGATGGTTAGCTTTGCCAGCTAGATGTGACTGGGCGGGGTGGTCCAGGAAGAAAGAGCCTTATGGGGACAGGGATGGGGTGAGCAATAGTAAGGTATGGGAGGGAGAATGGTAATAAAAACAACATACATCTTCAGGGTTTCTGAAGTCCCCTTTGGTGTCAGGCATTGGACAAGACGCTGTACGTACCTCATAACAGGGAGCAATCCCAGGGATTCTGCCCACCTTGCAGGTGAGGATGCAGAGGCCCGGTGTGAAGCGAGCCACCAAGATCCTACAAGGAGAAGGGAAGAGTAGTTTTTTTTGTTTCTTTTTTTTTTTTTTTCTTTTTTTTGGAGGGGGGAAGAGTAGTTGAGTCTAGTTTTCCTGACGCTATGGCTGCCAGCCGACTGTCTTGTTCCTGAGGCCGGAGCAGGGAGTGTCAGGGCAGAAGAGAGTCACATGCACCCCATGGGACCTGAGGGAACACTTAGCTCTAGCGGAGCAGCAGGCACAGATGGCCAGGGCCCAGACCCCTCTGAGGCCTGGCAAGAGTGGTGGGGGCTGTGGCTGTCACCAGCTGCTGGCTGAGGTAAGCCCTATGGGCTTCTCTCTTTCTGTGCTGTTGCCCCTGCCTCCTGCCCAGTTGCACCCTGAATCTGAAGGGCTCTGGTAAGCTGTGCACTCATGAACCCCACTGACTGGTGGAGGGCGGGACAAGGCAGAGAGGTGCATTGAGAAAGCCAGGAAGCTAGTTGAAGAAGAAAAATGCAGGGAGCATTGAATGTGTGCGTACTTGCAGTTCCTGCCGGGAGCCGTGGTGTGGACGCCTGCCCTGCTATGGCCTGATATTCGCTTTGCAGAACCCTTCTCCCTACTGAGGCTCAGAGTCTGCAGCCTCCTGCAGCAGTGGAGTAGACCTGGTGGAGCGGGTGGCATCTGCTGACCTGTTCCTCCCTCCTCTTAGGACTGTCTTGGGCCCTGGAGTCCCCACCATGTCCTTATGCCCCTCAGGGCTGCCTAAGAGACGTGCTCTGTCACTTCTGCTCAGGAATCAGTGGACACATTTAACTATCAAGCCCCACTTCTTCCATCTGTTCAGTGGGCATAACAATAGAACCCCTTGCGGGGCAGTTATGACAGTGGGACGGAGTACAGAGCATGTCACACAAAGGCGGAGGCCTAGGTGCAGGGTCCTCTCTGTTTCCTCTTTCCTTGTGTCAAACATTTACTTCTGTCTTGGATCTCCACCTCCCTCTGGGATTCACTTGACCGCTGTCAGCGGTAGCACAGGCGCCCAAGGGAGTGGAAGGGAATCTGAGTTGATGGGTAAGAATCACTGGTGCAGGGACACACAGAGACAGTCTGCTGACTGAGACACTCAGATACTCATGAAGGCCGATGGTGGAGTCTACAGATCTGTGTCCTGGAGCTGCCATGCAGCATGTCCCCTAACAAACCTTGGTCTCTCGCCCTCACAGACTGCAGCAGTTTCCCGCCATGGACTTGGTAGGATGAGTTGAGGAGTCAGACATCCCTTAGATGCCTGGCACATCCTAGAGGCCCAATAAATTTGAAACTTTGTTCCCGGGCTGAGGGCTGAAGGCTGAGGATTGGGCTGAGGAAATGTCCCAGAACATTTGTTGTGAAGCGTGGTGTCCCCATTGTCCCAGATGCCAGAGTTCCTCACCCAGATGCTTCTCGTAAGATGGGAGGTAATTTTTTTTTTCTTTTAATGTATTTAGTACAGGGTCTCACTGCACAGACTGGACTTGTAGTGATTCTCCTGTTTTCACCTCCTAAGCGCTGGGATTACAGATGTGCACTACCACGCCCAGCCTCATTCGCTGTCTCAGGGCATCCTGGGGGCAGGGCTGGCACAGCACGCTGGGAATCAGACCCCAGCCTCTGTACTGCGCCTCAGCAGGCACTTCAGTCCGATGAGCTATCTGGCCGGTCCAGATGAGAGGTGAATTTTAGTTTTGGGGTCTTTCAAGTTCTTGCACAGGTCTCAGCTGGCCTCAAAATCCAAGTGCCCAGTTTGAACCTGGACACAGGAAGTGCTCATGATAAATGGTCACGGCCAGTGCTAGCATCGCTGCTTCAGGCTGGCGACTCCAAGACCTCCAGCTCCCGATGTCCTCAGCTGTCAGAGGCCAGGCAGTGGGCAGTCAGCTCCCTGCCTCTCATCCCAGCAGCCCTGGCCCAGCATTCCTGGTTCTTGTCCCAGCACACTGGATTGCTGGGTCCCCTTTTCTGAAAGGGAGATGTGCTAAAGGCCCCTGTGGTTGCCTGAAGTGCCAGAAGGGGGCCATACTGTAGATATGCAGTTTTTTTTTCCTCTATATACTCTCTCTACCTATGGTAAAGTTGGACTTCTAAGTAAGGCATAGTATGAGATTAACAGTAACAAATGATAAACTAGAATGAACTGTTACCCCAGTGTCCTGTAACAAAAGCCGTGGAAATGTGGTCTCTGTCTCTTGGAAGAGTCAAGGCAGACAGTACTATGTCAGGTTGACCGTGGGTGACTAAAACCGCAGAAAGTGAATTGCAGGAAGGGGCTCTAGCGTAGCTCCCAAGCACTGAGCCGTATGTGGTGTGTACAGTAGGAACTCATTTACTCAGGGAGGAAGGCTGTATATGCTGGTTAGGCTCTCAGGCCAGTGCTTCTCCTGGAAGCTTCTCTCAAGATGTAGTTTAATGTTTTCCAGCATTATCACCTAAAGGATGAATGGAAATCTTTACCATTGGAGGTCTAGCATCAGTGATCTCAGAGAAGGCTCTGATTGGCCCAATGTGGCTTATGGTGCTCCCTGGGCCAGTCAGGCTGACTAGAGAGGACTTCTGTGATAGGCTACCCTTGTAGTCTTCTGAAGCATGGAGGGTCCAGTGAGGGAGTGAAACAGAAGTCGACTTTGGGTGAGGGGAAGAGAGGATTTGGATTGGACAGAAAAACAAATCACTGTCCACCCAGGCTAGCACTGCCTGGGAGAAACCTTGAGGCCCAGAAGAGGAGCAGTGAGCAAACACCAGCACACACTGAGGTGGGAGGCAAGAGGAGCAGCCTGTATTCGTGACAGATTGGTGTGGCATGAAGCCAGCCAGAGTAGGGAGCTGAAGATAAAGAGCACAAATAGACAAAAACTTTGTCAAGTGGCCACCAGTCTCTTGTTGCCTGAAAACCTGCAGAGAATCAAAGCAACTTATCATGCCAGAGCAGGCCTTGGTCTCACAGCTGGATACTAGGTTGCCCATATAGCAGATGAGGAAACTGCAGGTGGGGCCGTGGCAGTGTGTTTGCTGGTGCCCTGAGTCTTCCCACCTCCCTGCCTTGCTTGTGTCCCTGATGGCCCTTGGAAGCTCAGCCTGTAGTTAGGAGGAGTCTTTTTCCCAGGGAGCCCTCCAGCAGCTGTGATGGGGGAGGGAGGCCCCTGGTGCCCCAGGCCTGCAGTGGGGCCTTTGCTTTCTCTCACGCCCCACTCCAGGTTTGCAAGTACCATCAACCAGCCTGCCTTGGCTTGTTTCCCTGTCTGCCTCAAGAGGGGCCTGGCTAGTGCGGGCCCTTGGGGCACTGCAGCATTTTGGAAGGACAGTTTTACCACTCTGGGCTTTAGCACCTCAGGCTCTCACTTCCTGGGCGGCAGGAGTGCTTGGGCTCCTGTGACAGTGGAGGGGGTTACTACTCT